CACCCCCCCTCTTGGATTGGGCCATTCTTTTCTAACAAGCAGGTGGATAATTAGAGAGGACAATATAGTCATTGGAAGACCTTTTGAGGGTTTGTGTACAAGATCACCATGGGAGTTGGGAAATTTTTTTTCACATTGGTGGAGTTTACCTATAACAACAGTTATCATGTTATTATTGGTATGACACTGTTTAAAGATCTATATGAAAGAAGATGTAAGACTCCTTTATGTTGGTATAAGGAAGGTGAAATAGTAGTGGTTTGACTTAAGTTGGTTTTGTAGACTACAAAAAAGGTGAAGTTGATTCAAGAGTGAATGAAGATTAACCAGAGCAAGCATAAGTCATATGCAGATAAAAGACGAAAGTCTTTAATGTTTGCTGAAGGGGAACATATGCTCTTGAAGGTGACACCCGCAGTATGTAGGAAGGGCGATGAAGTCCAAGAAATTAACTCTCAATTTTATTAAACCTTATCAAATCCTTTGTTTTGTAGGCTTTGTTGCTTATTAGTTGGTTTTATCACCATTTCTATCAAACCTATAAGATGTGTTTTATGTTGCTTAGTTGAAGAAGTATGTTCATGAAACTAGTCATGTAGTGTAGTCAAATGTTGTATAGGTTAAGGAGAATCTAACATTTGAGAAGAGGCCAATCGATGTTGTTGATAACAAGTTAAAACAATTGAGAGGCAAATCCAAGAAGTTTGTGAAAGTAGTTTGGGATATGGCCACTAGTGAGGCTACAAAAGAGCTTCAAGAAAGGACCAAAGATTAATAACCATATATTTTCCCAAGTAAGTAAATTTTTAGGGACAAAAATTTTTATTGTTAGAGAGAATCTTAACATTGAGTTGTAAGATGTATGTTGCTTTATGATGTTTTTGTTGGTTTGTCATGTTGTTTTATGTTGTTGGGTTGTTTTTATGTTGTTTGTGAAAGCTTTAAGAGTTAAGAAATCCTAATGAATTGTGTTGTTTAAAGTTGTTTGAGCTGAGAACAAACTTAACCAAAAACGCAGAAAGGCATGGGGTTTTTGGAAAACATGAACTTTATAAAATTCATTTTCCTTCAATAATAGAGAGGTTTTAAAGAGAAGTGCTCTAGAGCCAAAGAAGTTTGACCTTTATTTTTATTCAACTTGGAGCATCCTTATTCTTCCCTAAAGTTGAGATCTAGCAGTAGAAGCAAAGATTCGAGCTAAGGAGCTTGGAATCTTTGGAGATGTTGACCCTTGAGGGTCACATTATTCTTCCCTTCTTCTATGATTCTTCTTGTTTTGGAAGTAATTGAGATAAAGAAAGCTTATGGATTGAATATTTTTGAGTTGTTTATGTTATTCTTGTGTTTCTTTCCATATTAGAAACTTGTTGCATCTAAAATGCACTTAAGGCAAGCGTACCTTACCATAGTAGTAAAAATGGAAAGGGTTCAGATATCAAGCCTAAAGGAATAGGTTCAAACAATTACTAACCTACTTTTAATCTTTAGCAGCTTGAAGAAATTGAAATTTAATTGAGAGAGTGTTAATTTATAAATTGAGAACAAAACTAGAAAATTGTTATTGAAATTCAAAAATAAAAACCCTGAAGTTGTGATTTATTGTTTTCGATGCCTTCCAAAGATAAAATTCAAAATTCAATGAGTAATATTGCTAATTTCACTTCTAAAATTGCTAATAGCCCTATGATTCAAAGAAACTAACAGTTTTATCTTTAGAAAAACTCAAATTGATCATAAGAGTTTTATTCTAAAAATAAAACATATACACATAGAAACAAATTAAATAATTAATTCAATTAGTAATTAGGAAAACAACTTGTTCATGCCAATTTTCAATAATTTAATTATTTTAATATTTTTTTTAATTAAAATAGTTTGATCATTCAAATTTCAATTAATTGAAATAAAAATTTAAAAAATTAAATAATACGACATTTAACAAGAAGAAAATCATGAATTCATTATTGGGGGTTCTTAAAGAATAATTACATCATAGCTCTAGAATAAGAGAACTAATCACACATGTTGCTAAAACTCATTAAAAAAGGGAAAATAATTAACCATGATAGGAAGAATCCTTTTCTAAGGGTTTGACCTTTAGCCTCTTATAGAACCTCAATAATGAAAAAAAGATTAAAGAAATTATAAGAAAAATTATAGTTAAAAACAAAAGAAAGCTAGTTAAAAACTAAATGACCTCAATGTATTTTAGATGTCCCTATTTATACTCAAAATTATTCTTGAAGTAGGATCATACATCCTAGTAAGCATGGTCATGATGGTCATGCTCAATATCTAAGGCTTGCTTAGCGTTCTTAGGGGTGACCAAGGCGTACTCGGCCTTCTAGAGGAAGCACAAATGTGCATATTGGTATGCACAACCATGCTTCATAGCATGACCATGCATAATGACGTGCTCACAACTGTGCATGTCTTCAACTTTCAAAATTGCATTGTTTTATCTCTTAATTGCATTGATTTCATTTTTTTTTTTGTATTTTCTCTATTTGTTGCACACTTAATAAAAAAAAGGTGAAATATTGCCAAAAACTTAATATTAAGTTAAGGCAAAACAACAATAAACATTA